CAAGTAATAACAACAATAATCAATATCATCATGGGGGGGGCGGCGACGCATCCAGCCCCCCGGGACTTAGGTTGCCTACCCCTGCCTTAGTTATTCCCTGAGAGCCTTTAATGGGAGTTTCTTGGCACGATTTATTCATAGAGGGAGTTTGCCTTTGCCTTTTTCTGAGGCTGAAAGAATATAACTTGCTTGAAGTCACCCAGTGGGTTTCCATAGCTGAGTAGGGATTCAAATCCTGGTCTCTAGAGCCGTAGTCCAACACTCAGAGCACTACAACACATTGGCTCGCCTAGGGTAGACCCATGACAATTAATGATATAAGTTAGTTGTACCTTTTTTTTTTTGTTATACCTGAATTAACTCCCATTGATTTTATAGGCTTGCTTTAAGGATAACTAAGCTTGGATTCAATTTTTTATATTAAATTAATATAATTAATTAAATGAAAGACTGCAATAACATTGTAGCCACACTGAGAAGCTGGTTTTGATGTTAATATTTTGACAGTGTCTCTGTAGGCACCTGCAGGGTAAATTTTTAGGTGGGAATTGTAGGATGATATGGAGTGACTGCAGCATCTTCTGTCAGCACAGTCTCCTAACTGAGATGGTCAGCAATGTCTGTCTCAGGTAACAGAAACTGTGGCTATGATCCATTCATTTGTTTTTGTGTACCTTCAAGTTGTTTCCAACTTATGGCAACACTAAAGAGAACCAACCTATCATGGGGTTTTCTTGGCAAGATTAGTTCAGAGGTGGTTTACCATTACCATTACCATCTTTTGAGGCTGAGAGAGTGTGGCTTGCCCAATGTCACCCAATGTTTTTCCATGGCTGAGCTGGGATTTGAACCCTGGTCTTCAGAGTCCTTCTAGTGGTCCAATGCTCAAGCCACTGTGCCATGCTGACTTCTCCCTTATTTAATTAACTGAATTTATATGTTATCTTTCTTCCATGAATAGCTTACTGTTAAATAGTGTAAATATTATTGAAAACATAATTTGAAAATGCAACAATGAAAATAAATACCATACTTGCTCAGTTCTTATAATTTCACAAAATATATGCTTCCGTATACTGAAATGATTAATATGAAGGAAAGCATTATTATTTCTCCTCTGGGCTTATTCTAGGTAAACATATCTGAGGTTAGGAATTATGTGATAATAATCAGCTTGAAGTGTTTGATGGCTGCTGCCAATTGTTCTTGCGGTAATATGATCCTCAGCATTCTTGAAATGCAAGGTAGGAGAGTCATTATGGTGTAATTGAGCATTAGACTATGGATGCGGAGAACAGGGACCGAATCCAATTTGGCTATGGATACCCACTGGGTGACCTTGGTCAAGTCACACTCTCTCAGCCTCAAAGCCAAAAAAGCAACCTGAACAAATCTTGCCTAGAAAACCCTGTGGTAACTTCACTTTAGAGTCACCGTAAGTCAGAAATGAGTTGATGGTACACAACAACAACAAAGTAGGTAAAATGTTTTGTGCATACTTAGCTTCTTGACTATATAATGAATGTGTGACTTGAGAGAGCCAGCTTGATGTAATGGTTTGAGTGTTGGACTATGGCTCTGGAAACCAGGGTCTGAATCTCTGCTCCACCATGCAAACCCACTGGGTGACCTTGGTCAAGTCACACTCTTTCAGCCTCAGGGGAAGGCAAAGGCAAAGGCAAAACCCACCTGAAAAATCCTTGCAAAGAAAACCTTGTGAGATATTTACCTTAGGGTCACCATAAGTTGGAAATGACTTTAAGGTACACAACAACAACATGCGAGCGAACCAGTGGCCTGTGGCTTGACATATTTTCTCTCTGCTGGGCACATCAGGCTATATCTCATTTTCTGAATCAATTTATTTGAGCTGTGATGCTGGAGAAGAGCGTGAGGATCCCATGGATGGCCAAAAAGACAAACAAATGGGTCCTTCAACAGATCAAGCTTGAACTCTCCATAGAAGCCAAGATTACAAAACTGAGGCTGTCGTACTTTGGACACATCATGAGAAGGCATGAACCATTGGAAAAGACAACAGTGCTGGGGAAGGAAGGAGGCAAGGAGAAGGAGAGGAAGACCACATGCCAGATGGAGAGACTCAATTAGCGAGGTCACGGGTGTGAATTTACAGGACCTAAGCAGAGCAATGGAGGACAGGGAGTCTTGGAGACGTCTCATCCACAGGGTTGACATGAGTCAGTTTTGACTCAAGGACAGTTAACACACAACAAAACTGTGGCCCAGACTCGATTGTGTTGTAATCACAGCAGAGGAGGGCTGTTTTTGTGGGTGGCACTGAAACCCACTGGGTGAAATGGGCAAGTCACACTCTCTCAGCCTCAGAGGGAAGCAATGCCAAACCCTCTCTGAACAAATCTTGCCAAGAAAAAAAACCCCATGGTAGGTTAACTTTAAATTTTATTATTATTATTATTATTATTATTATTATTATTATTTCAGGCAGGCTATTTTAAAATCATGACAGGGTGGCTTTTATTTTTAATGGATCATGTTTTAGATTATGGTTTATTTTTTTTAAATTTTGTTATGTTTTCCAGTCTTAATTTTATACTGTTTTAACTAGGTTATTTCAATTGTTTTTTTTAATTTCTAAATTTGTTTCCCCCCCAATTTATTTTTAATTTAGATTCCAAAAATCATATTGATAGATTCCAAAAATCATATTGATAAAATGCAATGTACATAACTTAATTTTTAAAAAACCTTAACAATACATATTCCACTAACAACAACAACAACAACAACAACAACAACAACAGAGAAACTACAAAACTTATACATAACAACATTACTTCCTTGATTTGTTTCTGGGGTGTGAAAGATTATGAAAATTGATCTCTCATAGGATATACTGTACAGTGCTCCCTCCACATTCACTGGGGTTAGGGGCACAGGACCCCTGTGAATGTGGAAAAACCACAAATAACAAAAATACTATGTTTTTACCTGAGAGAACGCCTCTCTAGGAATCTCTAGGTCCTCCAGTGCAACTCTGTGGTCAACATCTGCCAGACATTGACCATAGAGTTGCACTGGAGGAGCTACAAATGCACAGTGGAGGGTTCTCTCTAGGGATTTCTAGCTCCTTCAGTGTGACTTTTGGTTAAAGTTGACCATAGAGCTGCGCTGGAGGACCTAGATATTCCTAGAGAGAACATACAAACACAATCCGTGAATAATCAAATCCGCAAAAGTCAAAAGCTGCAAATGTGGAGGGACGACTGTATATGCATTTTGTCAGAAGCTACTGAAGTTTTATCCTACTTCCATCCATCATCATTACTATTATTATTATCATCATCATCATCATCATCATCATTTTGGTTTGGGATTTATCTATAGATAAATGTAGATCATAGACAACAAATATAAATATAGATAAATGATAGTTAAAAAAAATTTAAAGTATGTTTTTTTTTTAAATTTGTGAGCCGCCTTGGGTCCCTTTTGTGGGAGAAAGGCGGCATACAAAATGAAATGAAATGAAGGCCCACAACAACAACAACA